ACGACTGCTGTCACAACAGTATTACACAACTGGATACCGTTAGTCTTCAATGGAGAGAATTAGAACCAACTGATGCAACTAGACCAGTTATGAGGAGAGGTATTGGTGGAATGATATCATTTGAACATGATGGAGTACACCATTTACTAATGATAGGAGGGTATGGATCTAAACCAGCTGTACAACTACCTCATTATAAATATATTAAGTTTCCTAATGGACAATGGCGTACTAATGAGCACTCAATGTATAATCTATCATCAAGTAAGATTTTATATTACTTTTTGAAATTATGCTAATAAAAATAATTTAGGAAAATGGAATAATCCTTCAATCATTGGTCAGTGTATACCACCTGCTAGTCACTTCATCATTGAAAAGATCAACAACACTAGAGCTGTTCTGTTTGGTGGAGTAGAGACTGATGATGATGCTAAGACTACTTATACTAACAATATTTATATATTAGAGATATCAATCAACATTGTGGTATGTTAAATTATGTGTACTGAATGTATGCACACACACACACACACACACACACACACACGCACACACACACACACACACACACACACACACACACACACTAATTGCTAATGGGTGTGGTTATTTTATTTTTAGTTCTGGCAGTGTATAAGGAAACCTGAAGCAATAGACCAATGGCCTGTGGGTAGATACGCTCATGCAGGTGCTATTATTATAACTGGATCAGACTGTCCTATGCTAGTGATAAGTGGTGGGGAAGATGATAATTATGATATATTAGATGATTGCTGGATCTTTAACATCACTCAACATTCCTGGATAAAGGTATGTTAGATATTATTAATAATTGATCTGTACAGTGAGATACATGTAAATTATTAATTTATTTCTATTAACAGTTAGATGTACCTCACTCTGTTAGTAAGAGATGGGCTCATTCTCTCTCAGTGTTCATTATGAGTCCTCATTGTGTCTGGATAATAACTGATGGAGGATATGATAAGAGACAGACATTAGTCACTAATCCTAACATTGTTATGATAACTGAACTAGGTCAGTGTATTAGCCACACCCACCAATGAATACTATTAATTACCTAATTATAATTATTTCCTTTGATGTACTTAATGTTGCATTAGATCCACATCCTCTAATTAAAATTATTGTATTTTAGTTACTAACAGTAAAGGAGAGTGGACAGTAGGTGATACATTAGATACCAATGGTATGAATAATGAAGAATACAAGAAGAAGTATCAGGAGCAACTACAGACAGGAAGAAGAATAGAGTTGGAGGAGTACCAGAAACCAAGAAAAAGAGATACAGCCGATATTGAGCGAACCGTACAAGCTCTTATGAAGTGTCTTGAAGAGAAGGAGAGGGAGCTACGTCAGTCTCAAGAAGCAGTTCGTAGGTACCAGCAACAAGCACTTACTGATGATCACTGGGTTATTAATAAAGATGAGGTGACTTCAAACAGTTCCAGACATGAACGGAAGAGCATTACTGGTAAGGTTATACCATCAGTATACATACAGCTACATGTAAATAACTATTTCATATTAATTTATAGGCACACCAGTTATACCTGAAGTAGCTTATAGAGTGATATCCGAATGTATTTCAGGAATCAGACGCTGTGGGATTGATCTTCACTTATTAGCAGAGAAGTTATTAGAGAAGAAGATAATAAATAATAGACAAAAGAGGAAAGCCACTGATGAACACAGTGGACGTACCACTGACCAGAGAATGGATCAACTACTTGATATTATTAAAGACTCTGTACAACAAGAGGGAAAGGTTTTTGAGTATATTTTAGAAATACTCAAAGACGAAGATACCATACTAGCTAACAAACTGTATGATGATATGATTAGTAAATATGAACAATATAAATAGTAATGCCAACATTTATTATTATTGTGTTTGATTTGTATTACAATAGCAAAGTTAGTAATTATATATAGTACCCATAATTGAGAGTGGACTTTAAAGTATTTTGTGTTTATTTTTCTTCTTAATGTTTGTATTAATTGTAATGAATTGTTAAAAGTGTGAAAGAATGTGGATTAGCTAAATGGGAATATCTCTATTTCATTATTTCAATCCGCAACACCTACTTAGTATTGGTGGAAGAAAAGGTCATTAGTAAAAGTACTAACATATAGTTTAGTTGAGAGTTTAGTAGGTATGCAATTTATATGAAAATTATCCTTGCGTTAGTATGTACAAAGACTGCTTTCTCTTTTTCATTATTTCTGGCTTGAAATCTGTATGATCAGCCATGTGACAGTGATCCGAGCAGTGATCATGCATGCTGATTCATTAATCTAATTTATCAAAATAAGTGATGGGAAACAGATAAACGCATGCACCCACTAATTAGAAAAATGGAATTTTTGTGCATACAATGTACCTTGGTCTGCTTTTTATGACTATAAATTTTTCTAAATTTGTAAATTTTTATGAAAATATTCAGATTATAATCTCAAAATTTTTTATGGATTATATGTTCAATTATTATTTTAGTACATGTATGATTTTCTAGTCCTTTTATTCCAGAACAATGTTTCCAATGAGAAACCAATAGAGAGGCTGTCCCCTCCATCAGAGACTAACAATAAACTAACAAATGAAGGAAAGGAACAATCAATGGGAGGAGACAAACCAGTGACTACTAGTACTGAAGAGTGACCACACACACTTTACATATAAGGATATACCATACATTAGTGGATATGATGATATTCCATTAAACACACACCCACTCACTCTCAGTATTGACTCATACATACACATTAATACAATAAAGGATGTACATGTACTGGTACTAATGGTATACTTTTAATGATCATTTAATCATCTATTATTATTATTATTATTATTATTATTATTATTATTATTATTATTATTATTATTATTATTATTATTATTATTATTATTATTATTATTATTATTATTATTTTGTATTAGTTGATTTACAAAGTTTTAATTTCATTTAGTTCTCTCTCTTCATTTTTGTAATGATGAGAGAGAGGGAGGGACATTGAAGGACAGGGAGAGATTCCTTCACACAATCATAAATAATTGTCTTTTGTCTTGTTTTCATGAAGAAAATCAGACATGTTCAGAGCTGTGCAATTGCATAGATATAATGAGCTCCACCCAATTTTGTATCTCACGTGATCCAGTTGGGGGAGCTGGCCAGCAAGCAGCCAGGAGCTGCTTGCAATGGCTTGGTTGTTTGGTTCTGTAAATGAAGATAGTATCTCTACTACAAGTAAGTCCTGATGTTACTATTCTAGTATCATGTACTGTCAATCATTGATATATAGATCAACTGAAGGGAAGAGCTAGTCACCACACTGTATCAGTAGGTGATTCACTGTATGTGTGGGCTGGTAAACAAGATGGTTTACCTGGAGTACATGATAGTGAAGAGAAGAGTAGGATCACTAGTAATATACAGCATTTTACTCCTTCAACTGGTCAATGGATCACTAGAGGTACTACTGGTACTCCTCCATTAGGAGTGAGAGCATACTGCTGTACTGCAATAAATGACCAATTGTATTATTTCGGGGGAAAGTGTGGTCATCATGGCTGCTATCACAACAGTATTACACAACTGGATACCGTTAGTCTTCAATGGAGAGAATTAGAACCAACTGATGCAACTAGACCAGTTATGAAGAGATGTAATGGTGGAATGATATCATTTGAACATGATGGAGTACACCATTTACTAATGATAGGAGGGTATGGATCTAAACCAGCTGTACAACTACCTCATTATAAATATATTGAGTTATCTAATGGAAACTGGCGTACTAATGAGCACTCAATGTATAATCTATCATCAAGTAAGATTTTATATTACTGTTTGAAATTATATTAATAATAATAATTTAGGAAAATGGAGTAATCCTTCAATCATTGGTCAGTGTATACCACCTGCTAGTAACTTTGTCATTGAAAAGATCAACAACACTAGAGCTGTTCTGTTTGATGGATCAGAGACTGATGACGATGCTAAGACTGCTTTTACTAACAATATTTATATATTAGAGATATCAATCAGCACTGTGGTATGTTAAATTATGTGTACTGAATGTATGCACACACACACACACACACACACACTAATGTCATTGTTAATGGGTGTGGTTATTTTATTCATTAGTTCTGGCAGTGTATAAAGAAACCTGAAGCTATAGACCAATGGCCTGTGGGTAGATGGTTACATGCAGGTGCTATTATTATAACTGGATCAGACTGTCCTATGCTAGTGATAAGTGGTGGATATGATAAGAATCATGATACATTAGATGATTGTTGGATCTTTGGCATCACTCAACATTCCTGGATAAAGGTATGTTAGATATTATTAATAATTGATCTGTACAGTGAGATACATGTAAATTATTAATTTATTTCTATTAACAGTTAGATGTACCTCACTTTGTTAGTAAGAGATGGGCTCATTCTCTCTCAGTGTTCATTATGAGTCCTCATTGTGTCTGGATAATAACTGCTGGAGGATATGTTGATATAAGATGGACATTTGTCACTAATCCTAACATTGTTATGATAACTGAACTAGGTCAGTGTATTAGCCACACCCACCAATGAATACTATTAATTAGAAGAATGTAGAACATTAAGGAGGAACAATTAATAGTCATGTTAAATTTCAAAAATCAGTTTAAAAAATTATTTTAGGAACAATAAATGATGCATCAGTGACTAAACTTACTAAAGTGATCAAAAATCAATTTAAACAATTCTTAAACAATTAATAAATTAATGATACTTGTGACATTGTTTGTTGTGTAGCAGTGCTAAGTGAACTTGTTAAAATTCAGCAGCAAATCTTAGATTAATAACTTTTAGTCTTCTAGCTCTACATATACATTTCTTGCCTAAAAATGTCTCTAAAGCTGCTTTACTCGGCTTTAGATTTATTATTATCTAATATTAAGATTCAGAAGAAGCTTGCTTGACTTTCACAGTTTCTATAGCAATTACATCAATAAAGACAAGCTTCAGAGCTTTTTAATTGAATCTATAACCTTTCAATAGCTACTGCATGAAGAAGTCTTTGGATGGTGTGTCTGCCTTATCTTGCTGCTAGAAAAATCATAACTTCTTCCAGTGTGTTTGACTCTTGGACACCATTTTATTTTACTGTGACCACTCCCACTTTCAATGAAATATTGAAAATTGACTTTATTGGACTCGCCACGCTTGCGTAGGCGGGTAATAAGCAGTTGGGTTGTCATTCTGTCTGTCATTCTGTCACGAAAATTCCTGTTAATTCCTAGTTAATATCTTTTTTACTGAGCTCTCCTGAGTTATAATTCTTTTCAAGCTTTCAGAAAAAGATAATTTATTTAGCTCCGTTGTGTTTTCATAGAAATCTGTGGTAGCAAAAGCCGAATATTTTCAAGAATAGACCACTTTTCCTAGCCAAATCTTTGTGTTTCACTCTATTTGGTCAAGATTAGCATTGATAGGTAGAGAAAAGTACATAGATTAAAAAATATGTGGGAATTTTCTAATCTCTTTTTTGTTTGCGAGTTACAGTTGCTCAAAGTTTGTGATTTAGCCTCTTCGAAAAATTTTCAGGCAGCACTGGGGAAAGCAGGAGCAACCAAACTATCTCAGTCTCTTTTAAATATCTAGGCAAATTTTTTGTGCTTACTCTTTCTTTGAATAGAGCTTCAGATGCTAAAATAAATTTCAGCTTTTCTTCTTTCTCCTACCCACGTGCCATGTTTGCACTGCTAAGTGCTGACCACACCTAAAATTTATTTCATGGATCAGTGCAGTAATTGCATTGTTGCACTTTGCACTTTGTCAAAATCTATTATCCTTTTTTCAAATATCAAGTTGCTTGTATATATAATATCATGATGGGGGCAGTACAAGTAACACATTATCCCTCAGGTGAATCTCAGCAGGCGAGTCCACGCAACATGGTGCTTCATATTGCATTGGTAATGATTGTGTGCATGCGCATAAATAGAGGTGGCGTACTGGACAGACAGACGGGGCGTGACTAAGAGTACTGCTAGAGTGGGGCTCACTCAGGCTCACCCCAGTCAGGGTTGGGGTCAATTACAAATTCATGATTATGATTACGATTACGATTATGCCCCTGTATTAGATATTATTATGATATATAGAAAAAATTTTGCTCAATATTAGTGTTGCATCTTATATGAGTTTTTCAAATATAATATTTGATAGGCAACATCTTTCAAGCCAAAAAATTTTTCCACCAATATAGAAAATTTCTCAACTAGATGCAGGTGTTATTGCTATCAATATGCAGTTACATGTAAATGATCATTTTGAATGTCATAATTATGGGTATGATTATAATTATGATAAGTATCGAATTTTACAAAAATATGATTACGATTACAATTACGATTATTATAAATTTTTAAAATGTGATTACGGTTATGTTGAAACATGTAATGATTACAATCGGTTACGATTGTAATCGTAATCAGCCCCAACCCTGACCCCAGTTATAATTATAATAATTATTTCCTTTGATGTACTTAATGTTGCATTAGATCCACACCCTCTAATTAAAATTATTATTAATATTGTATTTTAGTTACTAACAGTAAAGGAGAGTGGACAGTAGGTGATACATTAGATACCAATGGTATGAATAATAAAAAATACAAGAAGAAGTATCAACTGCAGTACCAGAAACCAAGAAAAGGAGATACAGCCAATATTGAGCAAACCGTACAAGCTCTTATGAAGAGTCTTGAAGAGAAGGAGAGAGAAGCACAAGTTTATCATCAACAATTGCAGCAGAAGGAACGAGAAGAAGCAGAGAAAGATCAAGAAATAAGAAGATATCGTCATCAGCTACAAGAGAAGGATAGGGAGCATCAGGTGGTACTGCAGGAGAAAGATCTATTGATACAACAGAAGGATGAAGAGCATCAGAAGGTAATAGAGGAGAAGGATAGGGAGCTACAGGCGGTACTGCAAGAGAATCAGGAGACATTACGACAGAAGGATATTGCGATAC